GAATCACGACAGATAACGCAAGTTTATGGCTTTTATGACGAGTGCTTGCGCAAATACGGCAGTATAACAGTATGGCGATATTGCACAGAGATATTTGACTATTTATCGTTATCTGCCATTATTGACGGCAAGATCTTTTGTGTTCATGGTGGATTGTCGCCTAGTATTCAGACATTAGATCAAATCCGGACTATTGACAGAAAGCAAGAAGTGAGTTTGTTTTATTACTTTTTGTTCACTATATATAGTTTTTTTGTAACAACAGTCGAATGGGACTAAATGTTTTTACTTTTGCAGTAACCTATTGAAGTAACAGTTTTAATATATTTGTTTCATTACATCAGTCTCCCTCCCTCTCCCCCTCCCCCTCATGTTGTTGGATACGGTTTAATGTTTCCAAACTGATTTCATTATAATTGCTATCTTTATGGAAAGAGATTGTAAGCTTCTTGCCCAGACTCTATGAAGAATTGGATTTGCTTTTCCTTTAACATATTTACTGTTACTGTTTGGAGGTTTCTGTCCTTGAAGGAACTGCATGATATTGGGATTTGTTTATTCTTAGTTTTCGTGAGATATATGTTTTGATCAGAGAGGAATATTTTTTCACTCGAAATTCCTAGTGTTATAGGGGGAAGGGAGATCAATAAGTTTGTGTATCAGACCTAGATCTTTTGCTTGATCAACAGATTGCTCTAACACCGAGTTTTATCCAACACACCCTTACAGTTTTAATATTAAAAATTAAATTTTTATTATTTTTATAAAGGTGATAAAATTTCAAAGTGTTAAGTTCTGACTTAATGATGCAGGTTCCTCATGATGGGCCGATGTGTGATTTGCTATGGTCAGATCCCGAGGATACCCAAGGCTGGGGTGTGTCGCCGCGCGGTGCCGGTTATCTCTTCGGTAGCGATGTGGTAGCGCAGTTCAACTCTGCCAACGATATCGATATGATATGTCGAGCCCATCAGTTAGTAATGGAAGGCTACAAGTGGCATTTTAACGAGACTGTATTGACCGTCTGGTCTGCGCCAAATTATTGTTACAGGCACGTAGCATTTGCACTCGTAGTCTTTTTCTCTGGTAAAACTGTGTACATTGTATGATTATTCAATTATTTGTATTCAATCAATGTGTATCTACGTGTATACAGTGATCTATAAAACTGATCAAATATAGTACACAATTATCTATGATTAACTGATTCGAAGAAGGCACTTGACGAACATGGCCTTTCGATATCGATGTAACATACAAACAAATGTATGTAATTGCGAACATTTAGATATTTAAATCTATATTGTTTTTTTTTTTTTAATTGCAGATGTGGCAACGTAGCCGCAATATTGGAACTGAATGAACATCTGCAGAGAGACTTTACGATATTTGAAGCGGCGCCGCAGGAAAGCCGCGGAATACCCAGCAAGAAGCCACAAGCGGATTACTTTTTATAAATGAGCCGTTATAGAGTACAAAAGAGAAACCATCAGAATCGCGTCAGATCCATTTGGGGAATTTGCTTCTTCTCTTTCTCTTTTTCTCTCTCTCTCTCCCTCTTTCTCTCTCAGATCAGGTTACGTTGATTGTGAAGAAGAGCAACTAAAGAGCGACTGATTGTGAAGAAGATAATTTGCTATTATTTTTTACGGCGTCATGATTTTTATGATTACGTTGGATCGTTTATCGCACATTTGGACGGAATTGCGACAGTATGCTTGTAAGGAACCGATGTAAAATAAAATAAAACTCCGATTTAAGCTGACGTGATGTGTAATCTCGTACAATTTAAATAAATAAAAAAAAAAAGATTATGTGGAAAATAGTTGAAAGAATGGAAATTCAGACTTTTATCTCAGCGGAGAATCGCAATAAATTGTTCATTAAATAAATAACTTTGTTTCTAACAATTTACACCGAGTTACTAAATCCTCAATCGCGTTTGTCGACAAACATAATTCTCGCTTCGTGCAAGATTTTAGAGATGCCGCATGTCGGACGCGAAAAATACACGAGTGGACCATTTCGGCGATCGCCAATCGCGTTCGTCGACGCGGCACCGGCGCCCCGAGCCCGCGGCCAATCGCGTTCCGCTGCCGGTCGCGTGAGGGTGCAGTCCCACGTAGCGA